TTATTGTGAATGACTGAAGGTTTACAGACAAGAGCATGGATTTTACAGTCAATGAATCACACACTTTGTTTCAACTCAATGATTTTATTCCCCTCTATGCAACAACAGTTGCCCTACCTCCTCCCTGTGGTTACTTTTATATAAATATCCTGTTTCAAACTCTTATGTATTTGTGGAATATATAAATACATATATACATACCACTCTTCCGCCCAAGCTGGTAGTGGTATTTTTAATTTAATTTAGTTTTTCTATAGTTTGTGAGTTACTTTGGCTTATGCTGAGATTGTGTAACTAACAGCAGTATTAACTATTTCCATAACTCATTTCTCTAAAATGGTACCTTTGGTAAGCAGCCAAGTCCTTGTGCAGGGTGATGACACAGTCCAACGGCCAAAACCATGAGTAAAGCACGTGGAGTCAATCACAGCTTTATTTAACTTGCACTAGGAAAGATGAGGAAGGAGCTCTGGTAGCGTAGTGGTTATGAATTGGGCTGCGAACCACAAGGTCAGCAGTTCAAAATTACCAGCTGTTCCGAAGAAGAAAGATGAGGCTTTCTGCTCCCGTAAAGATTTATAGCCTCGGAAACCCTGTACAGGGTCGCTATGAGTTGGAACTGACTCCACGGCACATAACAACAACAGCAACAATGAAAGATGAGGAGTCATGGTGTGGCACTGTGGGGTAATGCACCAGATTGCAAAGCCGTTTCAACTGCAAGTTTGGTGGTTCAACCTCACCAGCTGCTCCTCAGTAACCCTATACAGGGTCGCTATGGGTTGGAACCAACTCACTGGCACTTAACAACAACAACAACAACTACAACATGAAAGATAAGGCTGTCTGCTCCTGTAAAGATTTACAGGCTTGAAAACCCTATGTCAGGTTTCTGTGAGTTGCAAATGACTCACCAGCAGTGGCAGAGAAGAAAAGCGTTTGTTCATTGAACTGCGGGGTTTTTCAAAAGGAATGAATTGGGAAGTACTTGGGATTAGTGACTTTGGACTTGAGTTGGTGATTCTAAGGAGGTTTTTGGCAGGAGGGGCCAGGAAATACAGTGAATTTAGGGAATTCAGTGAATTTGATGATTGGGAATATAGTGAATTTGATAATCGTGTAGCTTGGTGATTTTTATGTAAGAGATGACAGAATAAAACCTAGGCTAGTGTTATCTCTGGCCTGGGAACAATAGACATTTCTGTGAACTGGAAGAAGGGGGAGGTTAAGTTATTTTTGTGGTTACAGAGTATCCTGGTTACTGTTTAGTTTCGGACATGATCACACAGTGGTCTGATGTGAGTCTTGTTTTTCCACTGTCATGGAGTGCCTTGTCTGATTAGTATGTAGACTCTATAGAGATTGTTCATGTTCTGTTTGGAACACGGCTGCCAGCTCTTATCTGACAGCTTCCAGAGCCTTGTTTTGTTTTGTTTTTTTAGCTTTCTTAATATATTACACTGGAATCCTGGTGTGGCGCTATAGGATAAGCATTGCTAAGTACAGGGTCAGTGGTTTGGATGTACTAGCCTCTTCTCAGAAAACCTATACAGAGTTGCTGTGATTCAGAGGCGACGTAAAGCACTTAGCAACACCAAAAACAGTATGTCACATTGAAAATCTAACAATGTACTTCCAACAATTCTAATAATGTTCTACATTTGGAACTCTTGTTAGTTTCAATAAACATATCACCCTTCATATGTAACTTACAATCATACAAAGTCATACTTTTTGTTATCCAGGCTGTGTCCTGTTGCAGAAAATTTCTTCTGATGTATCATCCAAAGCTGGAAGTTACGCTGTTAGGCTTAATCAGTCTATAGCTTAAGAAACATTTTGTAAGGCATTGCTAGTAAGGCTTCTTCAGAGAGGAATCCAAAATCAGTGACCTGGTAGGATTCTCCTTTGGTTTCTAAGAAGAAAGGATTGTGCATACCAAGACCCATTTGCCTCTTTTCACATTGTCCTAGCTTGGTTCTGCTTTTATTTGCTCTCCCTCTCAAGATGCTCACAAATAACCCTAAGATTCGGTTCAAATGATTGTGATCTGGTATCCAAGAATGGATGGACTCATACAGCAGAGTCCAGCCATGTCTAAGGATGAATCAAAGGGCAAAACTAATGAAGCAGTTAGAAATATCTAACTCAAGGCACACTACAGTTGAAACCAAAAGGAGACCATTTTAAAATGGAAAAAAAAAGCTAAACCCAAGAAGTAGTAATCAAAAGAAGAATCAAAACAATATGACTTGGCTGCTAGACACAAATGTGTTTTTATTAGATGTGGCCTGTGTGACACAAGGGTTGGCCTTTGGGAACTAAAGGAGAGACTCAAGATCTATCATATTTGTTGTTGTTGTTAAGTGCCAATAAGTTGGTTCTGACCCATAGCAGTCCTGTATCGGGTTTCCAAGGAGCAGCTAATGAACTTGAATCACTGACCTTGTCGTTCACATCAACTTGTTAGTCCAATGCATTAATCCACACAGCCCCATATCAGGACTCAGTCTGTGAGGTATTCTTGGCGTTTTGTAAAACCAAAGGGAATAAACAATGCATTACACTCTTCTGTCAGTACCTCATGCACCAGTGTTGAACATTTTTAAAAAAATCTTTTATTGTGAATTATGTGGTAGTTTACATGGGAGAAAATTAGTTTTACATTCATCCTATCCTATATCGTTTCATTGCAATGGTTACAATCCCCTCCATGCATCATCAACCAAC